AGGTGAATTGATAAATTCAGACTTGGAACCCTAGGAATTGCTGGGTTTTTCACATAAGTAACTTATTCAGTCCCCACCAACCTCATGAGAGGCTGACCGAAAACTTCCTCCCTCTGGTCTACAGTACAGTTTTATGTTTTAAACCAACCTCAAGTGCTAATGCATGAGTTAATCATACTCCTAAATTCGTGATCATTTGTCCTTGCAAGGTCCCTCCCTTGTTTTATTTTATTTATTATTTATGTCCTTGGATTCCTAAACTCCACTCTCCTTCCCCTCACCACACAGGTATAGTTAATGTGTTTAATATACATATTATTTGTACTCTTGAAAAACTTATGTATTCCTCATCAGATTATTAGCTCCTTGAAGTGTAATAAATTTATTACTCATTTTTTTCCCACTGGATCTCAGTTTCAAAGGATCGAGTCAAACTCTTAAATTTATGGCACTTTAACATCATCAGGTTGTACAAGGATTCTCTTATTATATTAATTAAAATTTTTTTTGTCCCCAGTGCACTCCCATTTATCTACCTCTTAGCATGGAGGAGTGGCAAGCAACAGATACTATAGAATGGAAAGTTGACAATCCTTCTTATGCTACAATAAAACATTTGGTAAAACCGTTGCCTATGATGGCTTAGATGGCAAAATGGTAAAAACAAGGGCAAATGTTGGTGTGCTTTGGCTGTTTCTGATGCTTTAGAATTACGAGAAAGAGGCAAATTCAACTAACTGGGCTCTACTGAGATGACTAACAGAGAGATGCTGAAAAATAGTTGGATTAGTGAAGAGGTTCAGAGTTGTCCCCCTTCACCATTCTTGCCACACTCCTCTCCCTCCTCCCATAGCATCTGTACTGCCATCTCAGTTTTACTGAACTCCTATGTTTATTCAAATGATATAGTCTTTCTCTGCAGTTCTAAGTTCCTTTCCAACCAGCCCCTTCCACCAGCCTTGCCTCTTCCAGGTTCACACAAAAAGCTGCCACCACCTCCTTAAAACTGAAGTCCGAGCGGGGTTTAATTCTCACTGCTGATGGAGGCTGGGCATTCATGAGCTCTCTTGGAAAACAGATGTTTTTTGTTTTCTCAGATTTCTAATCTCTTTTCAAAGGCCCCTAATCTAGGGGGAAGAGCCCAAAATAATGACGTCTGACCCAGCCACAAAGCTCCCAAAACCCCTTAGGGCAGCTGTGCGGGTTTCCTGCTTTATGGCGCCTCTGTGCCCATGAACGCTGACTCTCCTGCCCTCCCCACCTCTATCATAGTTCCAGGAACTGTAGAGATAAAAATACGAAGCCTCAAAAACAATGTACTTGCATTTCTCAATCCTTCCCAAATTGTGTGACTTTGGGCAAGGTCTCTCTGTGCTTCTGGTCCTCATCTGTAAAATTGGAATAATAATATGAACTTCATAGGGCTAATTTTTAAAATAAAGGAGATAATTCATTTAACCTTTTAACACTAGATCTGGCCCAAGATAAACACTCCATGTTAACTCAATAGATAAAAAAACTGATGCTCAAATAGAAAAATGGACTTACCCCAGGTAATGTGTTTCATGATGGTAGAATTATTATACACTGCTCCTCCCTTGCTGTTATAATTTTCTTACTTTCTTACCCACTTTACCTTTGCTCATCACACAATAACTCCTAGAATGGAAGAGAAATGTTCAGCATGGGCTCTACCTCAATGGTCAGATCAAGTGGCCTAAAACCCCTGCCTTCCCAAATCTCAGTGTTCCCTTGATTCAGTTTTCCTGGAGGCAAGAATCTGTCCAGGGAGCTCAGGCTGAGCAGGAGGCCACAGGGAGGGCACCTTATGCCATCGTCTCCCT